GAAAATCTCTTTAACTGGTTTGCACCTCAATTGTTAAAATGTTATTGAAGTAGTCACAGGATGTTGTTAAGAACTTGCATGCAATTTTAACATGTTGGCTACTCGATACTATGTTAATTAATTCCATAACGTTATATATTGTTGCTGATGTGGCTTTTAATTGATCCGGGATTTTACTCTTTTGGCCAGACCTTCAGACCAGAGAAGGTCTCCCCAAGAAGCCATTGAACTTATCTGGACAATAAGATGCTTGGTATATGCTTGCAATGAAGGAATCTCAACTGAACTTGAACTGTGGTTACATAACAAGGTGGAGGAATCCACCATGGGGAGAGGGTTAGGGAAGGGATGGGGGAATCCCAGTACCTATAGAACTGTGTCTCATTATACAATGTAATTAATAAAGAAAAGAAAAAATAGTTTTAAAAATGATATTGCTATAAGGTATTAGTTTAAAATGATAATAGAACTGAGTTATTTAAATAAAACCAAGCAATATTTTAAAAGTATATTTATTTATTTTTATTTGAAGGACAAAAGGAAGAGAGATTTTCCACCAATTAGTTTACTTTCCAAATGATTATAGCAGACGGGTTTGGATGAGGCCTCAGTTAGAAGCCCAAGACTCCCAACTCAGTTTTTTGCCTCCGTGGCACTGGTCCAAGTATGTAGACCATTTTCCTTCCACTGCCTTCCCAGTTGCATTAGCAAGCAGCTGCATCTGAGGGGGAACAGCCACGATATGAAACTGGAACTCTGATAGGGCATCCTGGATTTGCCCATGACAATTTAACCTCCTATACCATAACACTGGCCTTGCTCTTTCAAACTGAAAATTATTGTATGTCACGTGCACAAGCAGATGAAACTAAATGCAGCCCACATTGTGAGGTTCTCCTGGGAAGCGATTCCCTTTAACAATCCGAACCTCATTTAACAGATGAGGTCACTATGGTTAAGAAAGATCAAGACACTGATGTTAAGGTCATTCAGCAGATAAGCAACAAGAACTAGTTGATTTTTATGTCCAGGTTTTACCGAGACAAAAGTTTGATGATATTTTCTAATAGGTATATATCAAGTTAGTGTAGTCCTGGAAAAAGATACAAGTTTTCTTGGAAAGCTATGCTTAGCCCATCACCATTAAAAAGTAGTATACTTCTAAATGTTTTTTGATAGTGATTATGTTCTAATAATTTAACCATTATGTTCTAATTAAATCACAGCTGAAATCAAGAAAGGTGGAGAAGGATGAAAATGCTACTGTTTGCACTGCAGAAAGATCTTAGTGTCCATATGGGTGTGTGTGACCCAGCTACGGAAGTAACCATCATCTGTTTTCTCCTGGGGTGAACAAAGTTGAGCCAAGACTCAAACCGAGGCACTCAGACGTGAAATGTGAGACACCCAAGAAACCTTTTATCCATTGTGAAAAACGCTAGCCTTCTCTTTTGTGTTGAAAAATGTTCCCTTTCCTAAGTCTCCTTGAATACCCCCCTTGTTTACTCTGCAAGTAAATTCACATCAAAATTCTCACTGTTCACTACTATTCTCAAACTAATGCCATTCTCCATTGAAAAAACTGAGTTTTATTTCTTATGTTGAAATACCTTTTAGATGCATATCCATGCACTATCTAAATGCTTCTTGTATTTTTCACACCTTGAAAATCCCGGAGTTATCACATAAAGCACCAGAGGGAATCAATGAAGGAAATAGGATGAAAGATTAGCCGGAATTTGCAAGTCCTGGTAAATAAAATATTTATAAGGCCTCACTCCACAACACTTAGGGTCCTGGGTAATTTCATTCATTCTAGTAATGACTCAACAGATGCTCAGTTCTCTCCTTGGAGCTTGATCCCTGCTGAATGCCTGCTGTGCCAAACAGCTGTTCCCAACCTTTCAATTAACTGCTTAAGGTCTCTGAGAGCTTAAGTGCTTAAGCACTGGGCCCCTTTCCCCATACCTGAGTGAAAAGTTGAAAGAGAAAGACCTGGCTCACAGTGCAAGCTCTGATGAGGACATGCTTTAAGGGACAAATAGGAGGCCTCGCCATCACGTATGAAGGAAACAGGACATAAGCGGCTCCTACCTGAGAGAGCTTCAAGCCCAGGAAATTCATTGAGCACCACCATCAGTCACTTACAATTAACCTTTACAATATTTAGTCTTTACTCTTCCATTCCAGGAAGAGAGGAACGTTCACAGTTTATCATTTGATGAATGAGTTCCATCAAAGCTGTCTGTGACTTAGCCTTCTTATTTCTCATTCTTTGAGCTTTCTCTCGATGCAATGACATCAACTGGCAAAGGTAAGTTTATCAAGGTTGCTGGTGCCTTTAGCTATATATACTAGGGGAAAAAGGGGGGAAATACAGCAGCAGAAACGATGATCCCCTTTCTTCTTTTTATCACCACACGGGCCATTGCTACCATTAGATTATCATTAAGTGTTGCAGGAAGAAAAATAAGGAAGAGAGAATGGACATGGAAATGACTGCAGCTTTAAAATAAAGCCATTGGGAGTACTTTCCATGCACTATTAATGTTAATGCATTGGAGTTGTTCCACCTTCTAAATTAGACTCATAGCTCTTAACCTTTAAGTAAACTGTGTATTCAGACATGGTGGAGGAGGAGAAATGAAATTAGCATTTCCCTACTAAAACAGAATACTCCCTCCAAAGACCCAAGGGTCTGGAGGGAGAACTTGTGTAAGACATTGTACTTACCTTGAACAAAACCGCATCATAGATCAGGTGGGACCCAGAAGGGCTCCACACAGAAACACTGCTACTCTGTGATGAATGCATTTCTGTATTCCAACCATGACATGCACGGTTTCCCTTAGACATCAGTAATCTGGGGTGTCAAGGACAGTATCCAGTGCACACACATGTACAATAAAGCATGCAGACAGCACGAAATCAGGTACCCTCCACTCTGCAGGAGGAAGGAATGCGGTTCTGGTGCTCCTCCACCAGATTGGAGTGTCCTTGGCAGGACCCACACAGATACCTTCAGATCCACTGCAGCCAGGAACTGCCAAGGTCATCTTGCCTCCTTATTTCCTTTAACTCCTCAGTCTTCTCTAGCTTACAATAGGTTCAAAACATATTATCATATCAAAAGGCCCCTCCCAAACTCATTTGGAATGTATCCTTCATCTTTTATCAGACAACACCCCACATTTCCATAAAACACATGCAAGGTTCCTCCATGATTCCTGGTCCCCAGTTTTTATATCCACAACGAACTGACATCTGAAAATACTGAAGGGAAGTTCTAGAAATAAATGACTCCTAGCATATACATTCTGCCCAGTTGTTGCTTCTATGCATCCAAGTGAAGACAGCACTACAAGAGGTGAAAGGACAGATGGAGTGAGTAGAACTAGATAGAAACACTAATAGATACAACTATTAGTAGATAGATAGAACTATTAAACACTGCAAGGGAGGAGCAGGTGAACAGGACAGGTGAGGCTGACTCCTATTTTGACAGGGATTATGGTCTTCAGGAAATACCTGCAGAAGCAGTTCCTCCTGATTGAGAGTCAGTGATGTCATAGGCTTGCAAGGGAGACTTTCATTTCAAGGAACTAAGAAACTTTTACAAATAGTTTGGTGGTTTAAGGGATAAGTAACGGTTATCCGGAAAATTCACTTCTGTGGAACAGCTCTTCCCTGATGACTCCAGTTCAGCCAGGCATCGCCATGCAGGCAATTCCCACTATTTCTCCTTGGTGCACAATTTATTTTCTATTATTCTCCTCAGAGTTTTCTAAAATTTTGATATCCAAGTACTGGGTTGTGATCTTTTCTACACTAGGATCGGTGACTCCATGTTCTGGATACTCCTTTATTTTTTAAAGCCATGAAGTAATTGAACTATGTGAATGAATGACAGAGTAGGCAGGTACATGCACACATATTACATATATATATGCATATATATATATATATATACACACATATAGATATGTGCATATCCCTTTCTGATATTTGCCATAACCCTTTTAGGTTTTGGTAAGCAATCTTAGAGTTTTTGTTTTGTTTAATTTGTTCTCATATATGTTAATAACTGAATAAACTGTTCACTCAAAATTGCCATTAAGAGAAAAATAGTTTAGTGTCTTTGTTCCTGAAAGCAAACATTATCTTTACTGTTTTCATTTACTGATGCCTGAGAGAGAGAGAGAGAGAGAGAAATTGGTCTTTAACTCATGGGTTCATTTACCGAATATCCTCAGCAGCCAGGGCCAGGATGTGCCAAAGCCAGGAGCCTGTAACCACATCTGCATTTCCCACGTGCTTGACGATTACCCAAGAAACAATATCTGCCTCTCATGATGCATTAGCAGGAATCTAGAGCAGCAGCTGGGCCTTGAACCAGCACTCTGATACAATGTGTCCACATTGCAAGCAGCATCTCTACCTGCTGTGCTATAGCTCCCTCCTCTGTGTCATCCTTCCAAAGAGACATATCGCCGAGGCCTCCATATTTCAGGTAACATGAGTACTGTGAAACCGCAGGATGGATCCTGCCTGCCCATTACTTTGCCCTCATGTAAACTTTGCCCCAGTTAGAATTCACCATTCTTGGACTGGCATGCTGAGGCCCCTGGTGTCTTGCCGTGTTCTCTTTTCATTCCCTGAAGGAGTATCATCCCCAGGGCCACACTTCTCCTGCTCCCTCAAGAACCTCCCCACCCTCACACAGGGCAGGATGCTTATTATTATCACTCTCAGGATGCGGAAGAAACCTTGAGAGACTTCAGAAGTAGCTAGGCTACATGCTAGGCATCTGAGCCAGCACTAAGCATACTCAGGTCTCCTGGTTCATGTGTTTGCATTGCAGAGTGAGAAGCTGAAACAACATGCCCTTCCTGCCAAACACCTGGATTTGCTGCCAGAGTGGAGGGCCACTACAAGCACCTGGCCTTGCTATTCCAGGGTGCAGAGCCACTACAGAACATCATGGGCAGACCAGGCCTTACCTGCATTGTTGGTCTGGTGAGATCTCCGGCAGCGGTAAGCCATCTCCTGCTCACAGTGCTCTGAGCCATCAATCAGAGCCTCCAGCTGCTCCATGCTTCCACCGTAGTCCAAGGTCGTGATATAGGACTTCTCATGGCTGGAGTCCTGCACACGTGTCAGCTCTGCATTGTTGTGCTGCACTGTAGTCCAGATCTTGTCCTCTGCACAGACAACACAAGAGCAAGCAAGAGAAGTTAGAAGGAAGGTGGGAACAGGAACAACACATCAGCAGTGTGATAGATCAGTGCTAGCCACCTCTTAAGTGCTCCACGTATACAAAGAGGAAGGGCACACAAATCCTGTACCACCTGCAGTTATTAGTACGGTAATTAATAATAATCCTGAGAATTATTCCGTGACTTGATTCTAAACATCAATACCCATTATCTCATTTATAATTAAATAATTATCCAATCATATTAAAATTAAGTTATCGTATCATCCCTTAATTCAGGCACTCCCAGATATCCACAAGGGTGAGGGCTTAGTTCCAAGAGCACTACGCATACCCCAATCTGCAGAAGTTCACATTCCTTACATGCAACAATATAGTATTTGCATGCGAACTATGCATTCTCCTATATACTTTAACTCACTTTTATATTGCTTATGAAGTCTGCTTTAATGGAATTTGCTAGGTAAAACAATGCTGTAGCCTACTGTTTGCTAGAATAATTAAAAACAGGACTAATGTGTTCAGCACAGCCACAGGTTTTTATTTGTTTGCTTTTTTTTTTCTTAAATATTTTCAGTTCTGGATTGGTTGAGTCTTTGGGTATAGAGGTATAGAAAGGAAGGGAGCCAACATAGCCACATCAATGATGAGGGAAATTGGCATGAGGAGGATGAGGCAGCTCATGCAAGGTGATGATCAGTGAGGGGACCAAGAAAAGACTCTAACTAGGGGCAGCCAGAGCCTTCATATGATTGGCATGTTTTTTCACAGCAGACTCATAAACACAGATGATTCTCTGTCAGAACCACAGGTATTGGATTAAATACCTGCAAAAGGTGTATTATAGCCACGATTGAAATTGTGCAATGCACATCATATTTGCAATGTACTTAACAGAAGCTGTTAAAATTATTTTTCTCCAAATGATATTTTTGGTCAGCAAAATAAATGTGTCAATATTTACAGTAAGAGAACTGCGCTAACATGAAGCCCTTTAAATCTGGCAGAAGGATATGAATTACCTTTAGAAGGCAAGAAGAAAGGAGAGGGATATGAGTTCAATTTCGTAACCTTTTTCACCCAACAATAAGCTTGGATAAGGCATTTCATTTTTCCAAAGCTTGGTTAAAAATCCAACAGCAGTAACAACAGAAGCAGGTTAGCAACTCAAGTAATACTGTGACAAGGCTACTAATGGTGGAAGAGCCACACAGCATTATCTGGGATGTATCAGTCACTCTCTAACAATAACCTGGGTTAAAGCATTTATGACAATTGGACGTGCAATTTAATTCTGTACATCCTCACAAATAAAGCAGAACGAGAAAAAGGAAGACTGGAACAGCCTTTGTCATCTGAGTATCTGGCCCACATAATTGCATCGTTACACTTCATAGGCTCTCAGACATGAAAAGAACCTAATGTAGACATCATGTGGTTTCCTTCCTCTTCCGCACTGTTAGATATAGGGACATGATTACCTAGAAAACCCAGGCTTAGTGTTTCCCTGTGGTGACAACTGTGGCAGGTTCTACACAGCAGGCCGGATACTGAATGTTCCAGAATAGCCTGCGTAGGCTAGTTTCCTGATGACATGTGCAGCCTGCTCTTCTAGTCTCTTCTTTTCTCTTGCTGTTGTTACTGTACACATATGCTTTTGTCTGAAATCTTGGAACTTCTTCATTGAAATCTGGATCATGACATAGCCTTTACGTAGAGGACACATATTTTGGAAATGCCAGAACTAAGAGGCTTGCTAGAATACAGACGGGAAGATGAGTTAACTTTGCATCCTGGAAGCCTAAGATGATGAGTGCCAGGAGAGGCTGTGGAAAATTGAGGATAAAGAATTCTGTAATTGTCAGGTGAAACAGTACCTACCTCTACCATCCCTGCTCCCATCAGAACTCCAGGGAGCTTCTACCTCCTTGTTTGTTAACCTATTGACCATCATGCTTGTCCAACATGTATTCTGAACTCATGTTAGTATCAGACAATTTGCTATGTGTCCCTATGAAGCATGACATTCATAGTGAGAGTATCATGAATGAAAAGACTGATGTTAACATTCCTCCTCTCAATTATGTTATATAAATTGTATATAGTTTCTTTGATGACATGGAGTAAAATATAGATTCCAAACCAGATATGCTTATTCTCAAAGCTAGGCTGTCACTTTCAGTGGCACCATTGCCGCTGTTGCCTTTCAAATATTACAGATGAGGAACCCTGGCTTTAGAGAAGCAATGATTGAACCAAGGTCACTGAATCGTAAGTGTTGGATAGGCACACAAACTTTATTTCTACTAGACCCAAGCTGTATACGCTAACCCCACTTCTCACAGGGCAAATGACCATCATGACCATTTAGCTCTCTTTGTCCAATTTTACGTGGTTGCTTTTAGATCTATGTTTTGGTCTGCTTGTGTGTGATCTCCAATTCTCCTACATCTACCCAAGTAGATGTTCAAAATTTGCATTGCTGGTTTAAAAATCCTTAGTGGAGAGCTTCACACTGGCCTTCTCCAGCTAAAACTACCTCCTTCATCCTACGCCATTCCTCAGGAGATCAGCCTCCAACACTGGCTTGAAATGAAAGTCTGTCCCTTGGGAGAATCATTGGTCAAGATTTTGGTGCTTTGCTTTGCAAAAGAGAGATAGTGCAACTTCTTCCCTGCGCCCCTGGGAAAACTGCACAGTGGTGTAAATGTAGAATACGATCCCCATTGTCTTATACCAGTAGCTGCTCATTGAACGGTGCTGATGACAAAATTCAGCTTGAAGGGAACCTTCTCAGTCCCCTCGTGCACTTGTGTCAACCCCACCCTTTTATACTGTCCCCATACCATGTGCCAGCTCCTCTTCCTACACCATGGGTTCAATAATCTGAGTCCTCCTGTGATTCTTGTTTCTTGAGGACAAAAACTAATTCATTCTGTTGGTAACCTCAGTGCCTAGCTCAGCCCAGTACTTGGAAGTTTATCTCAAATGCTTATTTTCTGAATTACTGCTGGATGAGTTAATGAAGAATGTGTAAGGAACTGAAACTGAAAAAAATGAGAGAAGTAATAAAGAGAGATGAATAAGAATTTTAGGAAGTCATTGAATAAATTAATAAAAGAAGCTGTTTGAATGGAAATCTCATTTCCATCACCTGAGCTCGCTGTTCTCACCCATGTGATATGGGCTGAAGCCAACTGTTAAGTGAATGTATAAAAGGAATTTCTCTAAAGGTCTGTTAAAATTCTTGGCAATTCAAAGGTGACAATACTTTAATTTCAAGATAATGCTACAACTTTTTGACTCATCAGTTATATTTAATACTCCAGTTTAGCAGAAGATTATCTTGTCTGCTGCTTACCTGGGGAAACTTCTTAAAGCTCAAGCCTTCAGGACAAGCAGCTCTGAGCCCAGGGCTTTTTCCTAAGAAACAAACCTTCTGGAAACCCTTTGTGGTTGTCACTCTTTGGTCAACAGCATAATGCATTAGACAGGGAGACAGGCACTTAGACAAAGCTGTCTTCCCCTGAACTATCCAATTGCCATTCTTCCTCAGCCCAATGGAAAAGGCATTATTTACAGAAAGCAAGCTTTCAGTGTGAAGTGTAAGCAACAACACCAGTACTATTGCAACAGATTCAAGTGCTTATAAACACAGAGTATATGTGACCCAGGCATGCATCTCCACCAGGAAGGAGGTCCAACTGCTGAGCCCCTCTCCCTGCTGACAGGAGATAGGTGTTCAGGGGAAGGGGACAAACCATCTGGAAAGGACCTCACATCCCTTTGTCAGCTGCGTGGCAGACACTCTCCAATACTCTTCGTGTGCTCACTCATTGTGTTCAGTAGTTGCAGTCAGGTAAAGCCACCATCCTCACCCTCCATTGGCAGAGACAGATGCCAAGGGTAAAGACTGAGAGTCCTGTCTATGGCTCTACTAAAATCATTGTAGCAGAAAATAATGTAGTATTTCAGAGACTGCAATATGCCCAAATGCTGTTGTAAAAATTTTAATTGATGCATACAGACTCATAAATCTTCCCCACCATGCTGTATGAAAATAGGAAGTCAAGAGTGAAGTACTTGCCATAGATGCAAGTGGAGGTGGATGGGATGTGGAAGCATGGCCAGATCTACATTTTTTTAAAGATCACTCTAGCTGTGGTCTGAGTTATGAGTCATGCCAATTTTTACTGCGAAGATATAAGATTATAAGTCTGTGAATAACAGGGATGGCATCAGCACCATGCCTATACTCTGAGTGGTTTGGCAGTGCCTGACAGCAGTGGCCACCAATGCTAACTGATGTAAAGGGCTATAGGACAGTCCGCCGTCCCTAAGTCCTTTACCTCACCCCTCTGTGATAAGAAGCACTGCACACAAATCAAAGCCTTAGACTTAGACAACTATCACTGTTATCCTGTTTCTACAAGTTACAAGCCTCCTTAATGAATCTGTAAAATGGAAATTATTCTACTTCCTTCATAGTGGAGTGTGTTGCACTGACCAGGCATCTTGGAGATAATCAAGATGATTATATTGCAGCCAATGACACATTTTGAGCATCTTACATCTACTGTTGACAGTTATTCAACTTATGATAGGCAACAAATGTGCCCACTTTATTCTTCTGAGAGTCTTTGGCAGGGAAGTTGTGTGGGTGGAAAAGAAGGGCCCTGAACAGGAGAGTGCTTTTGCATGGAAGACAGTAACCTGAAACCTTATCAAAAAAATACAGGGCACGATATTGCATTGCTTTGATACACAGTATGACTGCCAAAAATTAGCTGCCTCCGGACAAACAGATGGCCAATTGAGCAGCCCTACCCTATTTTCTCAATGACTCTCATTCTTCTGAACTAGTAGACATATCTGCAGTCAAGAGGCAAGACACTATCATTGCTGTAGCCATGAGAGCTGCATGGACACATTTCCTTCCTTTCTGTCAATAGCTGTGGTGAAAATACATTACCTGCAATCACACTGCACAGTTATGTGCAGGAATATCGGGCAGGCTTCAATCATAGCTTCTCAACCCACTCTATTACGCATGCTTTGATGGGTTTTAATAAAAACAGAGGCTGCTGCCAAGTGAATGAGAGACATCCCCATTACAGGTATGGAAACCTGTAAGGTGATGTGAATAGGAATTATGAGCTGTTTGAGAATAAAACACCCTGCTTAAGATGGTTGGCTCCACGCTCCTTGCAAATTCTTCGCAATACCAGGTGCTTGCCACACAGGTTCACATGTGGAATCAGCATTGCATACCTCCAGTTAGAAAATAAATGTATTTTCTTGGTGTCCCTAGATAAAAACATCATCACATCAACATGCAATTGTACCATTACAAAAGCACAGTTAGTGTAAAGCTGGGAAATACAGTTTAAATGTTGAAAAGGTGCCCTGTGCGCATTAGAAATGTAAACTATACATTTGAATAAGTTTGAATATCAGGTTCTAATAATCTTCTTAGGGAGCTTCAGCCATCTAATTCTGCTCTGTGTGTTTCAAAGCTTCCCCTGAGACATGCACCTTGCAGGCCCCAGAGCCTCTGAAATCACACAGCACCTGGAGAAAGGGGGAGAATTTTGTTGCTGACAATAGAAGAAAATTGTTTGTCATGGCACAAATGATTATGAAAGATACTTCTTAAAAGTTCATGGAAAATGGAAGTGTAGATGAGTTTCAGTACAAAAGTCTATTTTAAAAATTGATCTGTTTATCTAAAAGTCAAAGTGATGGGGGGGGGCAGCGAGTGGAGAGAAATTTTATTCACTGGTTCACCGACTCCAGAAACACTTACTAACAGCAAGGGTTGGGCCAGACTGAAGCCACGAGCAATGTATTTTACCTTCACCTCTAATTGGGTAACAAGGACACTAGTACTAACAGCATAATGTATTGCATGCAAAGTGAAAATCTTTAAAAATATATAGAATCTCGGGCCCGGCGCGGTGGCGCAAGTGGTTAAAGGTCCTCGCCTTGCACGCCCGGGATCCCATGTGGGCGCCGGTTCTAATCCCGGCAGCCTCGCTTCCCTTCCAGCTCCCTGCCTGTGGCCCAGGAAAGCGGTCGAGGACAGCCCAAAGCTTTGGGACCCTGCACCCGCGTGGGAGACCCGGAAGAGGCTCCTGGCTTCGGATCGGCATAGCATCAGCCGTTGTGCTCACTTGGGGAGTGAATCATCGGACGAAAGATCTTCCTCTCTGTCTCTCCTCTCTGTATATCCGCCTTTCCAATGAAAAAATAATAAAAATAAATCTTTAAAAAAATATATATAGAATCTCTGTAGCATGAAATAAATGTAGCAGTAAAATAGATGTATCTTTCCATTCTATTACTGTGTATGCTCTCAAAGTTCCCTTGAATTCTCTTGTATGTTTCCAGGGAAGAAAGGATTAGATGATGCCTAAATGCAGGCAAATTCATGGAGGCAAAGAATAGCAGGTAGAGGTATTTAGCATCTGCATTCATGGATGATGTTGCAAACGGTGGGAATGACTTACATCCTGAGATTAAACCTTGAGGATGTTCCCAGCTTGTTACTAATCTCACAGGACACAACCTGATTCTAATATAAATAATGGAAAATAGAAACATTTTTAAAAATCAGGAATGTAAAAAATTGGACTTCAAGTTGGTAGTTCTTTCTCACAGCAAAATTTGCATTGGTTTCATTCAATGAGGGCATAAAAGTGGACTCAAGGATTCGTCATATCCTGTCCTTAATTCTTAAAGAAACAGCTTGCTGCTGTGTGGGGAAACACAAACGATGATGTCGGAAATTGTGATAGCCTTGTGTCAAAATCCAGAATAGGGGAGTGGGGTGTGGACATCCTATCCCAAGTATACCCACAAGTGTTCAGATTCTTTAGAAAATGTGAACCAACAGAATAAACAGTCTGTGTGTGAGAGAGAGAATGGGAAAGAGAGGATCTTATGTGCATGAGCAAGTTCGCAGTGGTCTGCCTTGTCAATAAGCTTAATTGCTCTAGCAAATTGGTGAGCTTTTCCCTCACGGGAGCTTCTCCTGGGGTTCAGAATCTTGCCTCCACAAGCAGAGACTATTTCTTGTTGATCTGCACAGATGTGACCGTCTCAGGATGGGGGAGGCATGCAGGTGATACTATGGCTCTCAGGACAGGTGAGATGCCACCACGTTGATCGAGAGCTGAGCTAGCGTTCTCCAGGGGGCGCTATGCTAAGGGGTCTGTGGGATTCAGAGTCGTGACATGTAACTATGAGTGTCTTGCAAATACAAGAAGCTCTAGATGAATCCAAATAAACACGATGTGAATTCACCTTTTCCAAAAGCTAATTTTAGAGCTGTGAACTGGGTCACTGGCCTTAAGAAGGGGCAGAAAGGAACTCCAGGCTCCTCACGTGCCTGCACTTTCACCATTCTCTATGGGATTTAACAAGGATGTTCCTGAAAAATGTAGAAGACAGCAGCTTTGAGGTCCCAGAAACTGAAGCGTAGGACACAGCAATATTCTTTCTCCGTGTCTCCTTTTTTAAAAAGATTCATTTATTTATTTGAAAGGCACAGTGTCAGAGAGAGACAGATGTGGAGAAAAAGAGAGACCACAGCAGGAAGGTCTAGTGAGGCCAAACCCAGGCACTCAGAACTGTATCTGGACCTCCCATGTACCTGGGTTGTCTCCAGCATTGTTCCCTGGCGCATTAGCAGGGAGCCAGATGAAAAGTGAAGCAGCTGGTGCCACCACAGGAACTCAGACATGGGCTGTTCTGTCCCACAGCTTCACCTGCTGCAGCACAAGGCCAGTGCTTCTCTTCATTCTGTTTTCACTCCCCTGTCTCTTCGTTGCCTCTGTTCCCTTCCTTGCACAACTTCATCACCCTTTTCCTCATGACACAGTCATTATATTAAGAATGCTGAACGTTTAACTTAAGGACATCATGTTGAGTGAATAAATAAAGTCCATATGTTCTTCCTTATACAAGGGAGGAGAGAAAGAGAGAGAAGATACTGAAAGATGCCATGCATATTAGTTTTTACTACAAATGCCATGTATATTAGTTTAGCTCTGCCAAATAAATTGACAGAAATTATGCACTACTATAGTGTTACTGATTGTGTGCCTAGTCGAAAGGTTGGACATCTTCCATTTCATTTGATTACTGTTTACAGATCTTGCTGGATTATGGTTGTTTCACATTTTATTTATTAGTCTTGTTTAGTAGAGACATTAAGTCTGGCGTTAATGTAGATGATAAACAAGTTATTTCAAAAATAATAAGTAGATTAGGTTGAATAATCTCTTAACATAACAATGTAAATCTTATTACTACATACATGTGTGAGGGGTTTGTCATTCATCCTGAAAGAGCTCTGCTTTTAATGCTATGCATGTTTCGGAGGAATCAGATACAAAAACATACATATCTTGCGACTGCATATGACCAAAAATGCCACACTGCAAAGAAACGTGCAGTTCTGCCCATCAAGACGACTACTGCAGGACACAGGGGAGAGGCTCTGCTTACTACGTGCTCACATCAGTGAGCCACCTTCACCCACCCTCATTCAGTTCCAGTTCTTTTAATTTTTTTTTAAAAAAGATTTATTTATTTTTATTGGAAAGTCAGATATACAGAGAGGAGGAGAGACAGAGAGACAGAGAGGAAGATCTTCCGTCTGATGATTCACTCCCCAAGTGACCACAATGGCCGATGCTATGCCAATCCGAAGCTGGGAACCAGGAACCTCTTCCAGGTATCCCAAAGGGGTTCAGAGTCCTAAAGCTTTGGGCTGTCCTCGACTGCTTTCCCAGGCCACAAGCAAGGAGCTGGATAGGAAGTGGAGCTGCCGGGATTAGAACCGGCGCCCATATGGAATCCCGGCGTGGACTTCAGCCACTAGGCCATGCTGCCGGGCCCTCCAGTTCTTTTAGATACATGGTGGAATGAAGGAACACCCTTAGAGAAGCCTCCACAAGGGCGGCAGATGGTTCCATGTGCATGATCTAACAGAATTTATCTGTGAATTAACACGCTCTTCTGTGGTTCTGCTCTTGTATTCCTTTTGACAGCTTAAAACTGTAACCTTACTTAATGCATTTATTTTAATTTCATAATGCATTTTAGTGATATAGAGGAACGGGTACATTTGCAGTTTTTGTCTTTTTTATTTTTGTCATGTGATGTTTGTTTTGATTTTTTTTTTTTTTGGTGAAATTTAAGAGAGAGCGATCCATGGCAAGCTTCACAGAAAAGACTTGACAACTGAATTTTGACAGTGAATATTGGTTCACTGAAACACTGTTAGGAACAAGGACATGCTGCTTCTCCTTCTTGTTCATGAGCAATCCTAACTGCTAATTCCTAAGGAAATTTGTCTCTGGATGTCTTGGCCACACAGGTGTCCTCTTCCAGGAGAGGGCGTTTTGCTTCATGCCATCCACAGGTGAGAGTGAGAGAGAAATCGCACCCTTACCAGTGATATTGCAGTACACTCGGAGAGGTGCCAGGGGCCCGCTGCCGTCTGAGTCGATGTAGAAGAGACCGGCTGTGTTCCCTTGATGCCTGTACACCTCGCAGGACTGCTCATAGATGGCTGAAAAGACACAAAGGCAGGGGGGAGATGAGATTGACCTGGCTCTGCGTATGCCTTGCAGCAGTCACGAACTTTTGTTTCTCCTTATTCCCACATGTCTTTCTTTCCCTTCTGTAGGACTGACTTTCTGCCCAAGCCTCCACAAACCATTACCCCAAGGTATAACAGAGACACATTTACCACTGCTCTTTGTTCCCTCTTCTACACTCAGCTCACAGGTGATATCACACTCAAGTCTCCTGTTATTCCTTCTATGGCTCTCCTCTTTGCATAGTTATATATATTTTTTCCTATATTACATGGTATAATGATCTAGCGTTATCAAAACATTATTCTGCTTCCCTAGTGGATTAAAGAATCTGTAAGTATAATGGCTGCCTGTTATGTAACAATGTGGTTCAACATCCACCATAGTGTGACACTCATATAGAAGTTTTGCAGACACTTGGTAAGTGAACTTCTTAAAATGTCATCCTGCCTTTCATAAAATACATAATTAAAAGCTCATTTGAATAATTACATACTCTCACCAACATGGCAAAAAGCATTCTACAGAACCAGAGCTCAATATAGTAGCTAACATATAACAGGTGCATTATCCATTGCAGCCAATTTTTACTTAGTAAGCAAGCCAAGTTCCTAATACATGTCAATAGTGTGGTTGCATGAGGGAGGCAGAAGCACAGGTGAGGCAATCGATCTGACCCCCAGAAACCTATGACCTGGCTGGGAGCCACTGACATCTTTGTGTGTCTGAGATCCTGGGCTCTAAGCTGTCTGTAATTATCATAAGATCCAAATTTGGATAAACCAATGTGAATGAATCCAGAGGGATAGAAAGGAGGCATCTACTTCCTAATGCCTGAGAACAAGGAATGTCATCTAAGGACTCAGAGAGAATGCTCTAACTTAGAACAACAGGTACACATTCAATTAAATCATCCTTGCAGGCTTAAAACACTTGAGTAGCTCCCACCAGCTCTGAATATACACTGCAGTCTTCTCACCTTAGCCAACTCCTGTTCCTGGGACTAATGCTCCATCCCTAGGATACGAAGGTGCACTGGTCATGATCAAGGATACCTCAAATCATTCATTGCTCTGCAGCTCTATAGCCTTAGAGCATTGGACTTTATAAATTAGAGTGATGTCAAGGTTGTTTGTATTATGGGATTCTCTCTTGAACCCACACATACTTTCAAAATCTGGGGATATCTGGGAATAACTCAGCCTGCTGAGTGCATTATCAAGCATATTTAATTTGTACAAACCTGATGATGTACTTGATTGTATGTTACACATGTAAAGCCAGCATCCTGCAGGAGACCCCTCTCCACCTGCTCTGTGCTTGTGCTGCTCAGATGCTAACTATGCAGAAGGGCTTGCTGTTGTAAATCTCACCCTGACAGTATGTATGTGCTGGACTACCATGTAAAAACACAAATCGTACGATCAAGCTAAGTTGTTTAGCGTTCAGGGAAGACCACCTGCAGGAGTCTGGACTAACCACTTCTTCCGTCGTCAGCACTGTCTAAGATGAGGAGTATTTAGGTGCTTCCTTGTTCTCACATCTTAAATTAGGCCTTCTCTTCAGTGGACTGGACTCACAGACTTGCCTCCAAGGAAAAGAATATGAAAAAGATAATTTCATTCCTAAAGCTAAATTACAAAAGCACAGTAGCTTCCTTGTTGAATACCATTGCGTCACGTGCTGTGGTCAAAGCCAACTGCCACCTTATGAGAGCACTCTGGGTGCTTCTTCGTCATGACACACACAGACTTGAACCAGATCCCCATAGACAAACCTTGTAATAACTAGAGTCCCTGCAGACATCTTGATGGCAGCCACATATGGGGACTGAGTAAGCACTGATTCACTGGGGTGGCTGCTGTGGCACAGTAGGCTAAACCTCAGTCTACAGAACCAGCATCCCATAGAGGCACTGGATTGAGTACCGACTGATCCAATTCTGATCCAGTTCCCTATTTATGGCCTCAGAATGCAACAGAGGAGGGCTCAAGTTCTTGGGCCCCTAAGCCCACATGGGAAACCTGGAAGGACTCCTGGATCCTCGCAGTTGGCTTTAAATAAGCTCAGTTCTGATGACTGCAGCTATCAGGGGAGTAAACCAGTGGATGGTAGACCTCTTGCTCTGTCTCACTTTATTTGTAACTCTGACTTGCACAGGACTATGAAAGGAATCATTAAAAACAATTCTCTAAGCTGTTCCCATGTAAAGAATCACACAATTGTTCCCAGTTAAAAATTTCTGTAGTGATACATCATAGTAGATAACTATAAACTCAAAGACCATTGATTTTCTTACATCTTCTAGGTCTAGAAAGGGTCTAGCTCACTGGCTTGTGCTAAGGGTTCAAAATAATCTATGTGAGGTGCAGGGTCCCAAGGCTTTGTGCCATCCTCAACTGCTTTCCCAGGCCACAAGCAAGGAGCTGGATGGGAAGTGGAGCTGCTGGGAATAGAACCGGCGCCCATATGAAATCCCGGCACGGTCAAGGTGAGGACTTTAGCCACTAGGCCATGCAGCCGGGCCCAATAGTAAGGTTTCTTATGGGACTAAGTGTCATAAAGATGAAGGGTTGCATGAGTTTATGTCTCTTTCATAACGTAGATAAGTGTAAGAAAGCCACATGGCACAGAGACCACTTCATATCCTGCACCCCTGTGGGAGACCTGGAGGAAGTTCCTGGATCCTGGCTTCGGTTCGGCATAGTATCGGCCATTGCGCTCACTTGGGGAGTGAATCATCGAACGGAAGATCTTCCTCTCTGTCTCTCCTCCTCTCTGTATATCTGACTTTCCAACAAAAAAGAAAAAATTTAAAAAAAGGGTGATATTTTAAAATAAATTCATTTGATGCTTTAAAAGTTTTCTGCCATTCTTGTTTTTTTAAGGGTAAAACATAATCCTACCACAGTTTACTGGTTGAAGTATTATTTTAACATGAAAGCTCTTTAAAACTGAATTCATAATAATACTAAAAACATAGACAATGGAGTATAATTATTTGGTAAGTTAAAGGGAAATCATCAAATTTGTGTTGCTTTCTATACAACCTTAAAGGTCAGGAAAATCAAATAAGTAATGAGAACCATTTCATTTGTTTTTTATCAAATATTCCCAGTCATAAACCAGGTAAGAATGGCAAAATTTTATTCACCACTTAGCAGGTTTTTGGTGGGGCTGTAAACTTTTTTGGTTCATTTACAATATCCATACATACAAATGCTTAATATCAGGCTTTTCCCTCAATGCTGTGCAGCCACTGAACAAAAACTGAAGAACATGTATATTGTGAATCATAGTTAGATATGATAATGAGTGATCTTAGCATCTCAGTAGCTAAGCAACATTTCTTTTATGCTCCCATCACATTACACCAAGACCCTACTCCATGAACTCCAGTCAGGACACAGTTCATTCCCATTCTAGAACTCCACTTCCCTTTAGATTCTGGGCATCACTTAGTTGTTTTTGGTTGCCTTGGTGATCAGCTTTGGTTAATGGAGCTTCACACAAGACTTTGCATGCGCTTGCCCTCTGGCTGCTCTGGGATGCTTTACTGTGTAACCTGGCTGCGTAGACTGTGTTCAGGACCATGAGGGGACGGGCTGAAGCACTCAGCCTGCACCTGCCAGCCCTGTCGGCCCACGAGCTAACAGTGTCTTACTAGCTCTGTTTGTGGGATGCATTTGAAAGTTTTTGTAACATAAATTTAAGAAGAAAACATTTAATTTCATTATCACATGAAAAAATTCCTATTTTGATTTTTCTTTCAATGTGTATGAGTTTTTAAATTCATTTAAAAGCATTTAAGTGCATGATTTTGAAATTAAAAACATAAAAATTAAATGAAAAAATCAAGTCATATAGACAAGCTATTTATAAGCATAATAGTCAATATTGAAATAATGGACTAAGAATTATGTGAATATTTTCATGCTAAAGATAGATGTGCACTATAGATCTTTGATAACAAACCTTGAAATTCATCAGAAAAATTAGAAAAAAAATGTCAAGCAGTGGAACTCTCATAGAAATAAAAAGTCACAGGCATAAAGTGTTGCAATCTGTATATCTGACTTTCCAATAAATAAATAAATCTTTTAAAAAAATAGTATTGCTTTTTAATCAGGAAACTATCACACCAAGGGCAGAAAAGGAAAAACAATTATGTTGCTGTGAACACAAATCCATTTTTAATAATAAAAAGACATGCAATTCAAAATATATAGAAATATGTAACCCTGATTTGAATTGGTAAAGTCAACACAAATGCTTTGTTATGTATTTCCTTTTTCTAATGTGGTTTTCATACTTGGGTCATTGAAAATATCAAAATGGAAAATAGCCCAGATAATGTTTTCAGTACAATTTTCCACTTAAAAAGAATGAGGGTTTATTGAAACCTTGTTCAGAACAAGAAAAGTTCAGAGTGAGATGGGAACATCATGTTTCATCTGAAAAATAAAAAAGCTGTCAGCAATTTAAATCAACTAAAAGTGACAAATAAGTTTATCTGATGGACTAATTTAGGAAGAAAAAATACCAGGCCTCAATCATCAAATAAAAAAATCCACCAGTTTCTATCTATCGATCTTTTCTATTATGCAAACACTTCATATGATTATAAACATATCATGCTTTGTGCAAAGGTGAGAGAGATACCACAATGGTTATTGTGGTTGAGCTAGATTTTAGAAGCAGACTTGTCACTCACTATGTGACATCGCAAAGGTTACCACATTTAAGCTCAGTGTAGAAGCCGACCAAAGGCTCACTATAGTTACAGGACAGGTTCCTCCCAGCTCAGACCAAGCTGAAGCATGGTGACAGACCTGTGTGACATTAGCTTCTATGAAACTGAATGCCACAGATGCTTCCTTCAGGAATCCTTCCCCTAGCTTTAGTGTCAGTTACATGGTCTCTCTGGTAGACCACACATTGCTACAGTACATTGATTTTTCCCTAAATTGAA